ACCCTGTCCTGTCTCAGTCTTGTGTCGGATCATTGTTGTGTTTTGTTCCTGAGCTTTGTCTCCCTCGTGCCTGTGATTTTGACAATGTGTAAGTGATTTTTGAGCTGCCTCAACAGCATTTTCTGTTATTTAATAAATCCTTTTGTTCCTTTTTGAACCTGCCTGCGCCCTGGGTCCGTTCCTCCACCAATCCTGATAATTATTTCTGTTGCAAATTTTGTTGTCGCTATACTTATAYTTCCTGATTCACGTCATGCCCCCCCTGAAGACGTCACAGTTTGAAAACCTCTCCACTGAAGGGACTTTCAGTCTACGTCACTTCCAGGTCTACTGCACCTGTCGGGTGCAGAAAGAAGTTGCAATCATGTCTTGTTGTGCTTTTGGTTGCATAAACTGTTTGATAAAAACAACAAAAGGCACAAGTTATGCAGAATTCCAACAACTCTCGCTCATTTCAAGGCAACAACAGTTGTCTTTGGTTACAAGCACCAGAAAAAGTGATTGGAACGAGCAGATTACTAAAGATGCAACAATCTGCAGTGATTACTTCATTTCAGGGAAACCTTAGCTAACAAGCATTGATGCTTTTACAAATAGTTATAGAGTCCTACACAAATAAAAATGTGAACAATTAATCTGAGTACACCTAGCTTACAAGCAAATATTTCTTGGTTCAGTTTTGCCGCATTGCATTTGCTAAACATTTGTGATAAGGTTACACAACAATGGAAAGCAAGTTAATATTAATTTGCAATGTTATTTTATTTTAAATGTCATACACAGCCATGCAGGTTTGCAGACAGGAGGAAGTTGTTTTTCCTGTTCAGAATGACCAAGACTTTCTACACCTCAGTCCTCTTCCCTTGGCTTTAGAGCCATGAAGCTCACAACACTGTAACCATGTAATAATATGTCYTGAACAGGATTGTCTGTGACATCACTGCAGCCATTCGGGGTTTTGTAGGACTTCAGGCTCTCCAGGGACTAAAGACTTGATGTCTCGATCAGGTAAGAATGGATGTCTGGATCATTTTGTCTCATCATTTATCCACTCACCTGCATGCAGTCCATATGGGTCATCAAGACATATCCTATTAACTAATATTGATGAAACATAACTTATTTTAGCACTTGCGGATAATCTGTTGTAGTATGCTGAGAACATTGCTAGCTAACGTTGTAACTATACGATAACTGCAGATAAATACAAGTTCTGGTCAAACAGTTTGAATGACCAGCTCTTTCTCAGTGAATATTTACTGTGTTGATAAATAAACAATCCCTCCATAAGAACTTCCTATTCAGATAAATATAGCAAGGTCACAGCAGGTTGCCAAATTATCCTCTTTTATTTTACTGCCAAAATATCTGGAACTTCATTAGATTTTATAAAAATAAGATTCAAAGTATTATTTCTACAAAAATACTTTAGGATAACTCCCAGTTTCCATCTGTGTGCAGCTTCTAGTGGTCCTATGAGCAGACCCTGTGAACTCCCAGCTCTCCGTCAGGGTTTTCTTTGTTTTACTTCCATTCATTCCCTCTTTCTCCTCTCAACAACTGAAAGAGTCATAAAAAATGGTAATCCTCCAGACCCCAAAGCACTTTACACTTACACTCTCACACTTATTCACACACCGAACAATCCCTCCATTGATGRTGGTAAGCTACATTGTAGCCACAGCTGCCCTGGGGCACACTGACAGAGGCAGGGCTGCCATGCACCAGCACCACCAGACCCTCTGACCACCATCAGTAGGCAAGGCAGGTGAAGTGTCTTGCCCAAGGACACAACAACTGAGACAGCTGGGACCGAGGGATCAAACCGGCGACCTTCTGGTTCCAGGAAAACTCCCCTGACCACTCCACCACAGCCGCCATAAACTAAATCAAACTAAATCGTCTTGTAGATCAGGTCAATTCCTAAAATCTCAATATTTCCAATGTCAGGCTTTTCATGCAGACTCGTCAGATCATTTTGGGTTTTCTTTGATGAGATTGCCAAAAACTTATTCTCACTTAGGTCTAATATTGTTAAAAACAATATTCATGAATTTAGCCATGTATCATTTTCTCAGGCGATTTATGTCTAAAGTAACTTTGAATTATATTAAAACTGTCTCCAAAATGATCATTTAGAGATTAAAAAAGCAAGGCAATCATTTCTATCCCATATATACCAGTTGGGTAGAGGATGGCAAAGTCATATTTCTGCCCAAACCTGGTACAGAGAAGCAAAATCTTTCAGACCCATCAGCTTAACATCTTTCTTGCTGAAGGGAATGGAGAGGTTGATGGACATRTGAGATAGTACCTTAATGCCATCACCATTAAGTACTGAACAACATACATACCAGGCAGGTCTTTCTACAGAAACAGCCTTACATGGTGTTGTTTTGAGAATAGAACGCAGCCTGGCACATGGACAATATGCACTTGATGCACTTGGCTGCTTTTTGGACATACAGGGGGCATTGGACAATGTACCTGTAGAAGCTATAGAAAGAGCACTGGCCAGCAAAGGCGTGGATGAGACAACTACAAATTGGCTCATTTTCATGCTTCGGACAAGGAAAGCATCTTCAACTCTGGGGGACTGTTCGATAACCGTAAACCTCAGATGGGGCTGTCCACAGGGAGGAGTAATCTCGCCCGTGTGTTGGCTCCTACTTGTTGACARCTTACTAAATGAGTTGAATGGATCTAGACTCCATACACAGGGATATGCAGATGACTTGGTCATACTTAAAGAAGGCTTCTGCCTGGKTACTGTATGTAACCTAATGSAGAGRGGACTAAACATAGTATCCAGATGGTGTCAGGAGCAGGAACTTTCTGTCAGTCCAAACAAGATGGAACTGGTTCTTTTCACTCATAAGAAGTCAAGGAAAGGTTACTCACCTCCAAAGTTGGAGGGTGTAGAACTCTCTCTGTCTGAGTCAGTTAAATTTTTGGGTGTCTTTCTAGACAGGAAGCTTAACTGGAAAAGACATGTAAATGAAAAGTGTAAGAAGGCAGAAATGTGCCTACACCAGTGCTGGAGAATTGCAGGTACTCGTTGGGGTGCTAACCCAAAGGTTATCAGGTGGATCTACACGGACATAGTCCACCCCATGCTATGCTATGCTGCTTTAGTGTGGTGGGTTCGAGTTCAAGTTGGGGTGGCAAGAGTGATGCTCACCCATGTGCAACGTATGTCCTGCCTGAGCATCACAGTTTCCATCAGAACAACACCCATGGCAGCCATGGAAGTCCTACTGGACCTGGCTCCACTAGACTTACATATCTTAGGGGAGGCTGCATCCAGTGCAGTAAGGCTACACCAGTCTGGTAGGTGGAAAAGCCTATCTGACTCACAGCACACTAGAATCTGAGACTGGTCCAGTAACTGCAGGACCTGCAGACAGAATGGTCAAAAGATACAATTTTGAACAAAGTTTCAAGACTGAGATTGGAGACAAGTGAGCCTGGAGTCATTTCTCTGTGGTGGACCTGTCTCCTGATTGTTTCTACTGTTTTACAGATGGACCCCTTATAAAGGGGTCAGTAGGTGCAGGGGTGCTGATTCTGCACAACCACAGTGAGAGAGAGTACAGTTACCCACTAGGTAGTTTTGTAAAGGTATGTATCTTAAGCTGAGATACAGTATATGCAATCCACGAATGTGCAGCATCTCTCAAAGAACTGTAGTGTACGCAGAAGTAAATATTCRTCCTAACAGATAGCCAAGCTGCTGTTAGAGCTCTCTGAGGGCCACACTTTACATCATTACTGGCTTGGGAGTGTGCCGAAGCAGTCAACCAACTGGGGAGAAATAACAGTGTTACTATTAAATGGGTACYAGGACATGCTGGCATTATGGTAACGAGAGAGCTGAGTACCTTGCAGGATCTGGCAGTCAGGCTCTCTTTAGAGGACCAGAGCCTGCTACAGCGGGTAAAATAAGTATTGAACATGTCACCATTTTTCTCAGTAAATATATTACTAGAGGTGCTAATGACATGGAATTTTCACCAGATGTTGGTAACAACCCAAGTAATCCATACATACAAAGAAACTTCTGAAGGTTCCAGTGAGCACTGTTGGGGCCATAATTCAGAAGTGGAAA